GAATGGCATATCTCTCGGCGTTGGCATCCTTAGTCATGTTCGAATTGTGGATGGCCCAAAGCAGCAGCATTGTGGGGGACTTGATCTGGCAGACACATCTTTGTGCAAGCCAATGGTTAACGGGCGCCAAGGCGGTAAGAACATGTTCTTTAGGGTCGAAGTTGTTACAGCATCGCTCGGATTCTTGACCAACTTTGAAGATGTATTCAAGATGTGGGCTTTTGTTGCCAAGTTTCTCGATTCGTCGTTTGCTGAAGTCGAAGGGGATGAATTAAGTCCAGTACCGGAGGAATCCGAAACGTAACACTTGTTAAGTAAATTGTATGGATGTTTTTCCATCTATTTCTTAGGAAATGGAAGTGAAAGAAAGGATGCTTTTGTGTGGTCTCTTCTTTTTGATCCTCCTCAGGAGAATTTTCTTGTGAGCAGATTAATTGTTTATTTTTGTTGCCATATCTTTTATTGTATTTTTTGTGTTACTGGTGTTAGCTCTGTTAAAAGTAGTTTGTAACTTGAAATATAAATTAGAATTGGTCGGATTATTTATCCTCTGGGACAAGTCTTCTCAAAACTAAATTTCTGGTGTTGCTTTGTGTGGCCAGGTTTTTTTGTGTATTTGATTTGGGTGGTACAAAGAACACGAGAAAAATTTACATGAAACCGAGACGTCAAGGAGGGGCTGTCTCTAATATCTCACACGTTGCAGCATGTTGAATTTCAAATACTCCGCCATTTAAACAAAGAATTAAGAAGAATTGAACTAATTGGTCACAAATAGTAAGCCATCGTAGATCGGATTTGAACTAAAGACTTTACTTTTCTTTCTTTTTTTTGAAGAACTAACTAAAGACTTACTTTAGTATTGGAAAGACAACTTAGTCATGAACTTTAAAAGATAAACATAAATTCATGTCCAATGGTTCTTGATGCATGAGATTTTCAGATTATATTACAAAATTTTAGTGTGTATGACCACGTCATTTGTAAGACACCTCTCACAAAAGCATGAGATTCTTTACATTTTAATCTCACTCCACAACTCACTGATCGTGTCACATATGAAAATTGACCCAGTAAAACATTAGTATCAACGTTTCTCTTCGTACCAAACGCCTTCAAAAATTCAAAAAACATTTCTTCCCACCAAAATCAGTAACTTGTTGTGGAGATGTATCAGCGTTTGTATGTGTGAGGACTAAATAGCAAATTAACAATTGTTGCTTCAAATACCATAGAGTAATATGGGCCTTTCTTTTCTTATTATCAACTAAGCCCATTAACTTAATAGGCCCAATTTCTCTGATTCTTTAAAATTGCCAGGTCGGCGTAGCAGAGAATCGTACCCGGTGGCTGGTGGGTCGCCTGCACAGTACAAGCTCCAGCCAATGGCATCCATGGATTCTCAACCACTTTGTGCTCGGAAAATACTTGTTAGTATTTGTACCTAATCATTTACTTCTTGATTTGAACAACCGGTAGAACCTTCCATATTAACGTAATTGCAAACTATTTAAACTCCTGTCTAATTGAATAATTACGAAATGTGGTTTGATATTTTTCCTGTATTCCACCAGCTTTCTGTGGAAGTCGGAGTGAAAAGAAACCAAAAACAGCACTTATGAAAAGCTGTTTGGGATACTGGGATGTCAAAAGAATATCCACCTGCCTCCGGTGTAGCTGCCAAAAGGACGGCAACTTCCCCTAAGTCGCAGAGCAATAAGCATCATCAATGTTCCATCGGTTGGATGATTTGCTTCCATTTTCCACAAGATTTACATCGGTTTACAATCTTATACCTTAATAATGTTGCATTGCATCTAACCGTGGTGCTTTGGACTTGCTTTTCAAGAAAAGCGCTTTTGAAAACAACAAAACGGTTAACGTCGAGGAAGCAGTTAAAGATAAAAATGGCAAAAACGCATGGTTTCGTTAACGAGGCTTATGTGGTAACTGGTAACTACTCCACCCTTCTTTGCTCGTATGGAGTTTGTTTCTTCCACGTTTTTTGAAGTTAATTTCATCTTGTTCATGTCGAGCATGCTATTATTAGAGCCCTAGGCAGAGTTGTAAAGTGCGCTGAAGTTTCTTTTTTCTTTCCGGATTCTTTCTCAATCTGGCGAGTGCTTATGACATGCTATTCCTGCACCGTTTGCAAGAGAAAACGGCCTCCGTACGGAAGATTGTGGCCGGTGAGCCTAAGTCATTGGGGAACCAGAACGAAGGCTATTGATAATCGTCTGGCCATAAAAACGAAGGGATGGTATAAGTTCTGTGAGAATCCAACAATCTCAAGGATGGTGATGTCTGCTTATTCAAGCTCAAACGGATGTCCAGGTCAATTTCAACAGCGTTCATGGACGTCAAGATAACCCGCCACAGATCCTAATCACCCGTTGGTTCTGAAGTTTTTGGTTTCCCGACATATTTGATGAGTATTTCTCGTCAACTATGTGAAGATTAAACTCATGCTGTGTAATTTGATGACTAAATCTTCTCTATGCTCCCTTTGAAATTCTATATTTAAGTACTCATTAAGCACTTGTTAAAAAGGCTTTTAAAACAACTGAAAGCATTTAAAAAAAAAAAAAATTTAATTCAAAAACGCTTTTAAGTGCTAAGAAAGCATTACTTCCTCTTGCTATTTGATATCAATCCTAATTACCCGGTTAATTGACGCTAAGAGTAACTCCACCCCTAAAAAAAATATGTCAGCACCCAACCCATTTAATCTACTCAGTGAATAATAATAGGCAAAATGCATCTTCATCCCTACAAAATACGCTGACACCCAGCCTATTTAAAATATTATTAATTTTTTTTATAAAATAATAAAGAAATTACACAAAATACTAATAATAAATAACAAATTACATCTATTAATAAAAATGAATAAGAAATTACATAAAGTACTAAAAATAAAGACGAAATTACATAAAGTACTAAGAATTAAGATGAAATTAAATAAAGTACTACAAATAAATACAAAATTATACAGAGTCTGTGGAGTTAGGATATGTGGTGCTATGATATTCGTTGCTAGGATCTGTGTAGCTAGAACCCCCTCCACTTGTTTCCGCATCTCTTGCACACCTCCTTCGCATCACGTCTCTTTTTTCCGAAGTCTAAAAATATTTTGAATTCGGAGACAATCCTACTAGAGGCTTGTTCATAGTGTCACGATCTGCTTGAGCCATCATTTCTTCTCTAAGCATCTCATTTTCTTGATTAAGTGATTCTCTAATCATCTCGTTATCTAGATTAAGTATTTCTCTTTGTCTCTCAGTCGCCGCATCACGTCTCTCAGTAGCTACTAATATTGTTGCCATAGTCACATTTTTTTCCTCATCTCTAAATGCTTCCTGCGCCATGTTCAGTTCACCTTGGCGAGCAAGTTTGTCCATATATTTAGTGTAGTCATTTTTGAAAGACTACCTTTTTTCTTTGATGCCTTTTTACCTTGAGGCCTGAGGGACTAACGAGTCAGTTGGGTTTCTAGCACTTCTTTAAGCGTCCCTTCCATCTCTTCCAATGTCTCGACTTCTTGTTCAGTTGTGTCTGCCTCTGGCAAACTGTGTAGACCCATGTCGTGCATGACAACTTATGGACCGATTGCCACAATTATGTATCTGGGGCAATCTTTGACAATTTGCCAACATTCCCACTTGCTGAATGATTTGTTATGGTTCTTCAAATTGTAGAATGTTTGTGCTTGTAGTGTCTATAAATGTGGGATAAGACAGTATTATAAAATGCGGGTGTAACACAAATAAATAAATTAAAATATTGATACGGATGGAATGCATATAAATAAATAAAAATATTGTCACCTGATCCGTTAAACTTGTCCTACTACGCAGATTACCGGAAGTATGAGAGATGATGTTTTTCCAACAAGTAAATGATGGGTTGAGTTTTTTCCAACGACCTTGAAGACCTTGACTACTTTTGGCGTCTTTTCCATAGTACATTGCAAAACACCTTCATAATTTTACTCCACATTTCTCGCTTATCCATCTCATTACCCGTAATTGGATCATGAGTAGTGTGAACCCAGCATTCATACAACGTAACATCTTCGCTGAGCCTTCATGTAGTAATTTTTTTCTCTCAAAAATTATATGAAAGCTTTGATAGAAAGTGTTGAAAATATTGAAATGTGGTGTAAGGTGAAAGATGAGGGTTAGATATTTATAGAAAAAAAAAAATTTACTTAATTAATTTGGACCGTTGGATTTGAAAAAGATTCAAATCTGACAGCCTATACGTTGACACGTGGCCAACGGTCATAATTCTGACCGTTGTGCATTTTTTAAAAAAAATTTGGGGGAAAAACGTGCACCGTTGATCTTTGGATCAGACGGTCTAGATCAAACCACGCCACTAGCTGTTGGATGTCAAATTCAAAATTTTTTGACCATTGGAAATCCAATGGTCCAGAAAACTAGCCGTTGGAAATCCAACGGCCCATAAACAAACACGTGGCCTCCCCCATCAGATCCCTAAGTGCACCTGCGCTGGCAGGTCACCCCCACGTTTTATTGTCGGGACACGCGGCCATGTGCATGTGTTTCACATGCGCCTGGTGCAAAAAAAATTTAAATTGGCCTGCGACGTTATGCTAGCGTCAACATGACGTCAAGCAAGTTGTCCTATGGGTCTGTCAATTTTGGGTTGGCCTGAAGACCAGCTTGAGCTGGGTGCCGTCCTATCCACATGGGCTGGAGGGGATTAGTTGGGTGCTGGGCCAAAAATGATGCTGGGTGCCGGCCTACAAGTCCCCGGTGGACTTGCTCTAAACGGATCCAAATTACCACCCAGGTGACGTGGCGCCACTCCATTCGATCAATTCTCGATTGCAAAATTAAGTATGCAACTCGTGCGCACCAGATTTTCTGACACCCATTGCACGTGGAATTGTCAGTCAGAGACTTCGCAAAGTCACGCGCCATCAGGGGGAGTGAAACCAAGCTGCACGTCCTCCAACGAGCTCTTGGAGGAAGTGAGAGAGCGACTGGCTTTAATTTCGTCTATCTAATTTCCCCAGAATTGAAAAAACAAAAAAATTGAAAAAAAAAAAACCCAGTAATTTTATACGAGCACAAATAGCATCTTGAATTTTGTTACTTTTTGCTTCGTTAATTTTAATTCCAAGGGAAAATGTTAGGACCTATTTGGTTGCTCGGAAAATTTCACTGAGATTCTGGTTTCATTCTAGAGTTCGAAACTTGCAGAGCTAATTTCAATGGCAGAGGAAGCTGGGAATGTGAGGAGCCCTCATTTTTTTGCGTTTTATTCTGCTGATTTGAGCTCTGAAAGACTGGTAATTTTGTTCTTCCCTCTTCAGATTCTCCATTATTTTATCTGTTTGGGTAATTTTATTTTCTTCTAGGTTGTTGGGAATTAGGGTTAGTGTGTAACATTTGCTGATTAATGTTAAAGTGAGTGTCTTTGGATTTGGGAATTAGGGTTAGTGCATTAAAGTTGTAAACAGTTAAATTGTTTATTCCATATTGGAATTAGTAATCCTGCAAAAATCTTACTCTGTTAGCAAAACTCTTACTCTGTTACTAGAGAGACTCAAATTGTAAAATGTTATAATTTTTGTATCTTCAGAGTTAGCCAAGTTAAAATATTGGTGGGTTAATCTCGGTGTTTATTGAATTTTTGGATGGTGATGCAATGTCATGCTACAGAAAATCCCAGAAAGATTCATGAGACACATGGAAGGCAAAACATCTGGGTTAGTTGCGTTGTTCGGCCCTAGCGGCAGTGCATGGAGTGTTGAATTGATTGAACAGAATGGTGGTTTGTTCTTGCATCATGGGTGGCCGGCATTTGTGAGAGACCATTATGTGGAATGCGGGGACTTCTTGATTTTCAGATACGATGGTGATTTGCGTTTCACCGTGCTAATTTTTGATCAAAGTGCATGTGAGAAAGAGGCTGCATTTCGTTTTGGATACGGCCAAGACTCCAGGAACTTTGAGAAGTATATGTATATGGGACGAAAAAGGGGAAGGGAGGAGGTCGCATCATCTGGCAATAAGCTGGTTGATGGTGCGGTGAAGAAGATTAGAAACGGTTCGTCTCAATTCCGGTCAGAATGCATTGGTGAGGGTCGAGAAGAAGAAACTTGTTCCACAGAAAAAAATCCACATGAGAATCCTGGTAAGAAAACCAACTGATCTGTTGGCTCTTTCCACACAAAGGCAACTTTCCGGTCACCAGATAATTCTGCAGAGCCTGCCCCTTTCTCTTTCTCTCCTTTTCTCTCTTATAGCAAGTTGTTTGTATTACAGATAATTTAACTGTTTTGGAGTGAAAGGACGGAACGAGCCCAAGTTTTCATGTAATAAAATACTAGGCATAAAAATGAAGTTCACGTGCACTAAGCACTAGAATGTCAACACTGAAATAATGAGTTTTACTACGTCTGTGCAAACAAAACTGAATACATAGAGTTGCATTGGTGATATTTTTATTATTGCTTGCAGGTTTGGATGTTGTTTCGTATAAAGCAAAGGCATCGATTCAAAATATGTGTGGAAAAGGAGATGGATTAAATGTTCATGGTAGAGTTTGTATGCAGATGTCATCAGCTCATGAAGTAGCACCATCATTTAGCTCCTCTAACCCTTATTTCGTGAGAATCATAAAAAGTTTCAACATCAGTGGTTCATATACTCTGGTGGGTTCTTCCCTCTGGCTTTGTTGTTGTATCTTTTTCTTCTTATGAGGGATGTTTTGTTTATTGTAAGGTATACGTGTTGCATCAAATCACTCTTTTGAGACGCTGTCCCATTTTAATTATCTGCTCTTATGCATCCAAAAAATATATTATTGATTCCAATTTGGCATCAATTCTTTGTCCACAATTCCTCAAACTGTGCAAAATCTTGCTTTAATGTTACTGTTTCCTGATGGAATTAACCACAATCACCCAGAGGTTGTGCCCGTGGTTCCTCATTTCGTCGTTCAGGTTTGGGGTTTGGACAATGTCCACGGTATTCTGCTTTTTCTTTTTCATATGGGATTCAACTGATAGATTTATCAGTGTTAAAGATTTTTGCCTCTTTTTCGTGAATGAACTTTTGAGTGTGTTCACGCATGTGGTTGTGGGCGTGTATGAGTGATTTTTTACTGACTGATTTATGTTTTGCAGAATATCCCATATAAATTTTCAGTGGCACATTTACCAAACTGCAAAGTAAAGATTGTCCTTCAAAATTGGAAAGGAGAAAGTTGGACCGTCAATTCTGTGCCAAGTAATAGAGTGCATACTAGTCACACTCTTTGTGGAGGATGGATGGCGTTTGTTCGTTATAATGACATACAGCTGGGAGATATCTGCACTTTTGAACTTATGCGTGAGTGTGAATTCCGTGTCCACATTCAAAAGGGAGAAACATCTAGTTGGTTAAGTCCGGGGCTAGCTGTCACTACGCATAAAACTATCAAATGCTTGTCAAAGAAAATGAAAGGGAACTCTCCCAAAGTCCTTTCAAAGAGTATAAGAGAGATAGCTGATAAACTATCATCAAAGAAGGATCAAGACGCTGCTTTCATTAATGACACAAGGAAATATGGCAGCACATCAAGATCTCTTACTAAAGCTGCACTTGCTCAGTCAAAAGTTGCTAGTAAAAAGTTGGGTAAGCAAGCAATTTCTTGCAAAGATGGGGCCATGTGTGCTATTCATGTTTTTTATTGAAATGGCGTGAAGTTCATCTAGACTAATATGCTATACTTTTATCTATAAACTTAGGCTAATGGAATTAGATTTTCGACGTGTTTAAGAAACACATGATAATATTATTGCTTAAAGTGATTGATGTCAAGGGCACTTTCATTTTCTAACTTAAATTGGTTTATGAACCATAAAATGGAGACAGTTAATCGCAGGAAAAAAGTTGTTGAAGATGAACTAGATTCAAAATCAAGTGGTTTGAGAATCAAGTTAACACTTGATGAAGAAAGAATAGCTCGATCTTTCACTTCTTGTTACCCGAATTTTGTGAAAATCATGAAGAAGTTCAACATCAGTGGATCATATACATTGGTAAGCCATGTCAATTCGCGCAGACATGTTTATATTGTTCTTTTGAAGATTGCTTTTGGATGGTTCATACTGATAGACTGGTTATTCTTTTGCAGAAAATCCCATACCAGTTTTCCACAGAATACCTCCCCAACTATAAAACAGAGATTGTGCTTCGAAACTCAAAAGGGGAATGTTGGACTGTGAACTCTGTCCCAGACTCGAAAGGGCGTGTGGTGCATACTTTTTGTGGAGGGTGGATGGCATTTGTACGCGGAAATGACATTAACATTGGAGATGTTTGCATTTTTGAGCTTGTTGGTAAGGATGAAATGCAAGTGCACATTTCCAGTGTTGGTAAAAAGGGATTTGAGGCGGACAAGGAACATCTAATGTAGTATAGCGATTGTGTAATCTACCGGAAATGTACCTTCTTTCTGACACATGATCCAGCTCAACCATCCCTTGTACGTGTTCTGTGGTGAGCTTTCCTATTTGCGTTTTGTTTTTCTCTGATCGTGTTCTTCATGTCATGGCGACTTCTAACTAAACATTGGTAAGTGTTGTCATCTTCAACCTAAATCATCCTTTCCTGTTATGAATATGAATGTTAATAGAACTTCACTGAACATCTTTTGTGAGCGTAGGCGCTTCTTCCTTTTCCCCCCGGACACAATCATGTGGTTTGTCATCGCCTTTAATGTGTTTTCCCCTTGGTGAATTCAGTTTGGTATAATGCATGCTGCATTAAAGAGTAAGGTTTCTGCGTTTTTGGTATGGATGGAGAGTAACTGATTTGCTGGTGTAATGGTGTATGCTATACATTTGTTTAGGGTCACTACATTCTCAGGCATTGTTTTTGCTTTTAATTCTCAGTGTCACGGAGAAACTTGTAACGGTAATCGGATTTCACTCTTTAAAGTTTTCATATGATTGGTACGGCACTCTTGATGCAATCGACATGAATGATAGGACAGAGGGGGATATTGTTGGTTGAAAGATGAGATCGAGGGTCCTGATTAATGCTTATTTACTCTTAAAGCATAATCGACTTCAGACTGGTTCAAAAGTATATGACAATTTGAATGCTTGCAACAAATAAGATGCCAAAGGAAAGACATGAAAACTAATACAGGCCGAAGAAAATAGACTAAACCAACAAAGTACCCAAGACTAACCAAGAAAATTGTAACTAAGCAGGGCACTAAGAACGTTGACAAAGAAAAAAGAGCGTGGCATTAAACTAAGAGTCCCGTTCTTTTTAACCCTGAAGTTCAAGAAAATTGTGGTCATCTATCATTTGATCTTAATCAAACAATAGAGGAGAAATACCAAAAAAAAAAAAAATAAATAAATTGATCACGTACTATTGGTTTAAAATCGTCTAGGAGAACAAGTCTGTAAGTGTGCACAGAGAGAACTGCAAGTGTTAATTTAGCAGAAACATCAACTGGATCCGTCTTGTTTAAACCGGAGAAATACATGTTTCATGAAAACGTTGAAGAAATCTAATCGAGGTATCTTGGTTCACACGATTCTGTTTCTGAAACAGTTGTTCTAAAATGTACGTTGTGTTTTTGTTCTTCCATTGGTATTGACGATTTTCCTGGTTGCAGACGATTCTGAAGCGTGTAGAGCGTTGCAGGGTTTCCGAGTGGAGAGACTGTAACGCTTCAAGATCTGACCGGGAGATCGTGGCCTGCTCAACTTCATGTCAGGGCAGTTCACCGTGTGCAGATGGCACGGGGATGGTTAGCTTGTGTTAGCACAAACGAGATTTCGCCTGGGGGCGCCATCGTTTTTGAGTTTGTGAAGCGAGGTGTGATGCAACTACATATTTTCAGAGGCAATGCGCTACTCACAGCTCCAGATGTCTCTAATTGAAGCCAATTAACTGCAAATTTGCATTACTTCTTAATGCAGTGGTGGCAACATCTGCTAGCCTGTTTAGGGTTTGAGGTTGCAATTGGATTGTTGTCCTTCTCCGAAAAGAAGGCATTTTTGCAGCCGAACGACTGCGTGACGGAAGACCTCAACGACCATGCTTTTGCAGACACTGTCAAACCCAAATATTTTGATTGGAACCAAAAAACAAACAGATTTCGTGCACCCTGAGCAAGACGGTGACACACCTATGACTAAATTGACACACAGCAACTAGCAATCTGTGGATCAGATCCCAATTTGTAAATAATAGAAAAGACCGTACGACTCTGCAGAATACAATTATATCCATAAAATTCACGGTAAGATGTCAGTGTTCCAACACTCACTATAGTGGAAATATGCGATATAAAAGTACGTTTATCTCCATCTTCAACCCAAAAATCCGGGTGAGTACACCAGTAGAAACTGATATAAAGTTGCAACAAATACGCTGATGCTCTTGGATTGCAAAATCATTAAAGGTCTGTCGATCAAAATTAGATAAAAGAATAATCTCTACATACCAATGATTTAAAATAATAAAACCGAAGGGTAACCAATTGAAGAAACAGAGAACAGAGGATATTCTAATCCTGAAGACCTTTTCTGACTGGTAGTCATATGTTGGGGGGTTATGATTGGTTGTTTCGGGCAGAGGGTCTCTGACAATAAGCAAAGAGCTGCCAACTGATGAGGGCCATCAATAGAGAGGTACCTAGTTCAAACACTACCACATCCGGAAATTGCCAACCCAGGCCTCGCCTCAGATAGCTGCATAAACGATAAGTGAGTTAGACAAGGGAGAGAAACTTAAAAAGAGTGCGATCTAGTTGTTACACTTGACAATTGACGAACGGAACCAGCCCTACCAATCAGAATTTGAAAACGAAAGAGGAAGGTAGGTTTAGAATTTGTGGGACATAGAGTTATCACTATTTTTAAGGGAAAGGGAAAGAAATACGTTACCTAGAGTATCAATGTGCCGTAGCGATGAGTAGATGTTAAAAGCAAAGAATTTTTCAAGCAGTGGTAGAACTAAGGGAAGTTAAGAAGCTGACCTTGTGATAGATGGCATGGTTGCCACAACTCCTGCACATACGTATATTAAAGGAATCATAATCTTAGGCTTGTTTTTCCGAAGCCACATCAAAGATCCAAATGCAGCAAGGGATATACTCAAGACCTGAATAAAGAGAGTGAACAGGAACTTATTAACAAAGATGGGCAAATTTAATCCGTTAAAGAAGAAAAAAAAATTTGAAGTTATATTAATCAAGTTTGTTAACATAGGACATATAATTGAGGTATGCCTAACATGAAATCACTATGTCACTTTCAGGCTCCCAAAGTCAAAGGGGATTTTAGCATTCTATATCCACAAACCTATCAACGAGCATTCTGGCCGACATGTTTGATAAGAAAACTACAATGTAAGAAACAAAGAAACAAAACAATTGAATACCAGATTGGCATTTGCTTCAAGGCCTTGGAGAATGTAATCCCAGGTGAATTCTAGTCCTCTAGCACCCACCCATAGCGGTGCCAATCTATGAAGAACAGAATCAGCAAAAGCCCATCCTGCAAATAGGGAACAAAAAAGCTTCAAAATTGTTCTAAAATGAATAAAAACTTATCATTTTCGTTTTCCACGCGCTACTCACCAAGTCCCACAGCTTGAAATTTATGATTCTGAGAGATATTCCTGTGGGTCAGCTGAGTCAAAGCATAGTAAAGTCCAGCAACGTCTATAAAACCGATTAAAGCTTTCAACAATTCCTGAAACCCGAAAAAAGACATTAAGAATTTGTTTATTTCAGTCTAAATTTATAATCTTTAAATGCAACACTAGCCAAATTACGATAAAACTTCATCTACAAACATGGGAACCAGCATGAACTTATCTAAAATTGACATTTCTATTCGGAAAGATACATTTCAACTAAAACAAATATAGAAAATACCTGATACGGATCGAAGCTCTCATTGTCAGATACCTTCAGAAAAGTTGCCAAACAAACCAGCTGCAGAACACAGATTTAATAAACAAAAACCATCAGCAGCCATTTCTGTTGAAATTACTTCAAATTACTATAATTTTACATAAAATGCGATTTTTCTAATCATATCAGTTGAATTAACCACGAATTAATACTAACGAACCTTCACCAAAGCTGTTCCGAGATAAACCAAAGCTGCTTTGATGGAAGTACCGAGCGTATCGTACTCCGATCTGCACAATTAAATCGCACAATCGAGTTAGGGTTTTGATTTGGGGAAGAAGACGAAGTGAATTGGGTGTGATTTGTGAGAGCGTAAAAGATCCGAACGAAAAAGAGAAGAGTAGGACGGGTGTACAGCGGCGTGGCGGAGTAGTAGACGGCGTGAGGGCCGAACGTCAGGATGGCGCAGTTGAAGAAGTGAAACACCGTCATTTCGCTCCGTCTTCTTCTTCCTCCTCTCCTTCTCTCAGTCGAAGACTCTCAGACTTGGACGAAATCTCGCAGTGCGATCTCGATTCTCGACGAGAATTTGGGTGAGTTGAGGACCCGTTCGTTCGGATTTGAGCTTCGATTAACTTCACCCAGGCCCATTTCGTTTATGAGCCTCATTTACCAATTTCAACAGTATACTGGGCCTGAGCAAATGGAGTACCTGTTAGTGGTAATGGGCCGGCGGACAAACCGAAACATACAGATAACGGACAAAAGGTTGGTGGTTTTTTCATCCAAGAGAGAATATTGGTGGTTTAGGGTACCAATCTCAAGTAGTGGATTATAATAGTGATTAGCGCATTTTTCTTTAATCTACTTCATTTTGAATTTAACCTTTTTTTTCCCTTCTCTGCTTAGTGTAGATCAATATGGAATTTCGCTTCTAATAAATAGAAAAAGATTAAATACCACTTGATATGATGCCAAGGGGCATCATATTAACCGTACATGTGTCAATTGTCCATAACAGATTTGATTGTGCTATTGGGTTTGTTGCTTTATTAGTTGTATTTGTTATAAATAAGGGCTTCTGGAAGAAAAACAATTTCCTTGACACTTGATTGAAGGTTGAAAGAGATCCTGTCACCACTTTGGTCACTATATCCAGATCAAAATTTTACTTTGGTCACTGTTCTTTGAATTTGAACAATTTGGCCATTGTGTTGTTTACTTGTGAGGCAATTAAAGCCCACCTGACTAGATTAAATAAAGGCATGAGGCTATATGGAGCTCAAATAACATTCTAGAGCATGCCGTAGATATTTACCTCCCAATTACGTGTATTAACGCTTATACTAGACGTAAATGACCAAAATGGTTAACGTATAAAAACGCAACGCAATAAAAAACTGAGTCATATGAAAAACACAGAGATCAAAATTGAACTAACACAGGGATCAAAATGGGATTCAAGCCCTTCTTTTAGTTAGGATCACTAATTATTAATTATTCATTTGTATCTCTCATTATTTTCAAATGTCAATAAAAACACTAAATTTGTTTTTCGGGAAATAATTGTTATCTTATCAAATAACTACAAACACAAGAATTCGCTCATAGTGGACTCCATATTTCCTATTGAGAAATTGATATCTTACCAGAAATTCCAGATTCCACGACTGTCTTTTCTGCCAAGGCCTTGACTGTTCACCAATTCTCCCTGACCACACATGGTCCACCATTATCTATAAAACTCTAGCTAGGGTTTATGCCATGACTATATATGCTCCAAAGAGAGAAAAAGATAAATTTTAAAAGAAAATACTTGCAGGCCACACTTGGATGCATGTAATTAATCTACTTATTTACCAGAACACTGCATATGAATGCATTTCTTAGTTGAAAGCTTCCATTTGTTTTCTTTCTTAAGTACCATTTTATATTTGGTTTTATAATAATTAGGCTCTAATTGTGACCTTTTTTTTCTTCTAATTTATGTCTAATATTCTGCCAATTCAGGAATCATTTGACTGTTCACGTGGCATTTCCGGCCACAACACCGTAGACAGTAAACATGAACAACGTCC